GTGGAGGAGATGGTACAGGATCTCACTCACCTCTCACAAGGCAGTATTGGATATAACACATCTATTTATTTAATGGTACTGATGCCGTATATTTCAGGGATTTACTTTTTTTTTTAAGATGTGAGGAAAATAATTAACTTTTTCTTTTTATTTCATTCTGAACAGGTATTTTTTGTGGTTTTCTCATTTCTAAGACTCTTGTACACGGACTTAAAGAATTAATATAAAAAATAAAGACCTTTTATGAAAAACAATAATATTCAACTAATTCAAGGTGAAGGCACTCTTGTGCAAGATATGCAGATACTCTGAACCTCCATATTTAACAAGAATTTTAGTATCTATTTTTTAAGAAGACTTATTGCCACTGTGTTTGAAATACATAAATTTGAATGCTCTAATTTGTGTAATTATTATATCTATAAATAAAGGAGGAACCAGAAACAGATATTAATTTCCATTTGTAACTGAATGTCAACTGCTTGTAAGTTTGCAGATGAAAATCCCTATTACCTTTTAGTACAACTTTGCCAGGCAGTAACAGGATCGGTTAACAAGCCAGTGATTTCCGAATCTTATGGCCAGCAACACAACTAATTAGAATTGAGCCAATTTCATGTACTTAGAATTCAGCTGTGCAGATAACTGGATTAACAGGTGAAAACCAAACACAATTTCTACACTGCCACTGAAAAACGAAAAAAGAATACCCCTGAACATTAGACCAGAGAAGGAGACAGAGTCCTTCCTGGTACTATCTGGCAAAGATGGAGCAAAGTCTTGGAGAAGTCACGCTTCAGATACAGAAGCCTCAAATGCCTGTAAGTTTGTTTGAGTCCTTCCAGCTGCAAAACAGCTTTCAAACTTCAAATCCACTAGAATCTATCTGTCCAACAAAGAGGCAACCAAAGTATTTTCATAATGACATCACAAAAATGCTCTTAATTTTTCTACTCTCCCTTCTGAGACAGCAGAATGTGTTCATTCCGTTCAAACTTACAATACAAAGAGCATTACCTCTCCAAATATTGACAGCAACAGGGACACTTGGGATTCTCGACAAGGCACCAGACTTTCCAACTGAAGCAGTGTAGCTGCTGGGTACGCTGGATGTTCAAGGTTAGGCATTTTGATGTTCCTGTAGTCAGTCACCTGAACACGCATGTCCCATCTGACGTGCAGAGACAAGAAATAGCGATCTGTAGAATAAAATGTTTCAATTATCATTTGCTGTCACACACACAAGGGAGGAAAATGAAGAGGTATTGACATGATATCTAAACAGTCTAGCACAGGATAACGGTATAATTATTATAGACTTCATCAAAATCGAACTTTACTGTGTAAGGCATTATAGAGACATTTTCATACCTGACAGAATTCAATAAAATCAAATAAAAAGGGAAGAGCATCCAGGGTATGAGCAAATCAACATAACCAAGAATTGTCATCATTTAGTTAACTGGAAAATACATTATTTAGTTCTAGCTTTATCTACATTTAAAAGTAGCAGGGGATTAAACTGAGGAAAGTAGATTAGTCACAGATCATCACCTCCCTGGACAGCCAATAAACTACGATTTACAAGTAACAAAGAAGATGTAGAACATAAGGAAAGATGAGGATGACAAAACAGTAGCTCTTCAGATGTTAACAGGAATGCTTACCCCAGGTTAAAAGCAGCGGAAGTGGAGGCATATGAAAAAAATCGTGCTGATGGTAAAGACTGGAAATACCTCTTAAAAATAGCAGGAGCCCAAACCAGATAAAGCTGTAATATTAATTATAGTCTAGGTTTTAGACAAGGACTAGTCAAGAAAGACTACTTTGGGTTTTGATTGCCCAAACACTGGGAAAGCTGGATTTTAGTGACAGAGCATGGAAAAACACGTCAGTCAAAGATACTACTTTGTCTGCAGCTCTAAAACTGCTGGAAAGATGGTACATTTGTCTGTAGTGATAAGGACAACATGCAGAGAGAGAAATGAAGTGACATCAAGAGTTGGATTCTGACTTTGCCAAATATAACATTACTTGACAGCCAAAAATTTAAGTTTGGAAATTTAGGTAGGTTCAACAAAAGATATCTCATCAGCTGACAGGCACATCTGTATGTTATGAAAACAAAGTTAACAAACAAAGCACTCCAAACACATTAAATATAAGTATTGGCAGCCAAATAAGTTATGCTGGACGTAAGTACAGTGCCACATCAGAAAAGATCAGGTTAGCAAAAGGAGATCAGAAACAGCATGGGAAATGGAAAACAAACTGTCCTGAATCAAAAAAAGCATTATTTGGTTGCATGGACAAGGGAGATAGTGGGTGACAAGGAGGTTCACAAATACAAATGTATTTACGGAAATACTTCACAATAATGTTCGTTCTGGGACCAATCTGTACTAAGTATTTCCATAAATAAATTTAGGGAAAGATGTTTTTCCTTTTATATTTTCATTGTCTTCTTAAGTAAAAAACTGGAATTGAGAATCATCAAGAGAAAAACAAGTGGAATTAAATGGGGAAAAAAAGGATAACCCCGATAACAGAAGTAATGCCAATACAATGAAATTCAATACTTTAAATTACACATATTTGTAAGTAATCGTATCACACTTAACAGTTAGATATCAAGAAACTGTAAGACTGAAGCAACTTGAAAATAAACAAATCACTCATATAGTAAGTATAAGAAATCAAAGTAATGCAAATGTTGATAAAACAAACACATAGTCATATGTATTAAGGCAAATTACTTCCCATAGAGACAACCATAAAATAGCATTGGCCCATTTTATCAGACCAGCAAGATCAGCTTTGAACAAGTCTGGCCCCATCCACTGCATCCACTGTATCTATTCAGATGTTTATTCAAAATGAAATAATTATAAAAAAAAAAAAGTAACTTGATTACAATTGCTCTCTAAAAATGAGGTAGGAATAAATATCAAGCATGAAAAGAAAAAACTTTATAGACAGCAGCCTCCAAAACAGGGAACAAAAAAGGAGGGAAGGGGTTTTAAAGGAAGCTGAAGTTTGAATGGATGTAAGAGAAGACCGCTCTTTTGTTCCCCTGACTACACGAGAACACAGCTAGACCTGGTATACTAAACGCATCTAAAGCCATAAGGTACTTCATCTTCTCCATCCAGCTTCACTCCAGGAAAGCACAAATCGCCTGTTGATTGTCTGCCAGACCTGTCTGCTCCTCAAGCACCCCAGCACATCAACTTATACTAAACGTACTTAAGCCACTGGATGAAAACCTACATCTCTACTGACTTTGTGTAGGTCTTTTAATCTTCAACCAGTTCTCATCCTAAAGTTCACAAAAACAAACAAACAAAAAAAAAGCAATGCACAGAGCAACACACTCACAAAACAATTAGTTTAAATTAAATGGCAATGGTGACACAAAGATTATCGTCATCAGGATGTTCCTGACCAGGGAAAGTTGTACCGCGTGTGCGTGTGACTCCAGCCAGATGAGGAGGGACAAACAAGTATTTTGCAGCTGAGTCTCAAGTCAGATATCAAAAGCACAAGTTAAGATTTCAAGGCTGGGTTTGTTGATTCAGGAGCACTCCTCAGCCCATCACTCCTAACACACCCACACATGGCATGTCTTTCTACACTTTAGCACAAGCTGACAGAATTGAAGAGACTCCTGTGCTTCTGCTTCCCCTTCGGCACAACAAGCACCCGCGCCCCCAGGACACGGCCCGGGCACAGGGGTGCCCTGCCCGAAGGGGAACGATGACCCAGCTTCACCCGAGTTAACGGCTGGGTTCAGACGGGCGCCTGTGGGGCCGAGGGTGGAGTCGGCTGAGGCAGCAGACCGAGCGGCAGGCGGCCGGGACACCGGCACAGCCCCACACCGGTTCCCAGAGGAACGCAACAGGAGCAGGTCAGCCCCGCCACATCTCTCTCCTCCCCCCTTACCCGCCTAAGCGCCAGGCCGTGCCAAACCAACCCCATCATCCCGCTCGCTCAGAGGCTCACCCCAACTCCCCGCTCCCGCCGCTGCCTTCCGCACATGCGCACAGCACCGCCAGTCTCAGTGCGCAGGTGCACAGTCTGCACGCATGCGCCGTAGTGGCGTGACGCTCCCACTCCCGGCGTGTGTCCGGAGGCGCGGGAACGGGCGGAGGGGCCGTGAAGGGAGGGTGGTGGTGGGTCTGTGGCAGGTGATCGGCTTGTCCTGGAGATGAGGTGTCTGAGCCTACAGGGAGAGCGCCGTGTAGCGCATGTCCCTGGACATAGGTGGCTTTGGAGACGTGTTAGAAGCTGCTTGGCAGCAGTGAGGAGGGTGTAAGGAAGTTTGTGCCCTTGGGTAGGAGAGCGGTGCTGGTGTCGAGGGATCAGGCCTAGGCCTGGGGCCTAGAGTCAGAAGGAAGTCGCGGGTGTGTATGTGGTTGTGGTAATGGTTAGTTTAACTCGAGTCACGTCCGTTACGGGCACACAGACAAGTGTGGGGGCTCTCCTGTAGCTGGATGTGCAGTTGAGGGTCAGCTTTAAGGTGCACCCTGTGAGGGGGCAGTGGAGTCAGCCAGATGAGGGGTCTGGATGTGTCATGTGTCTTCTGTTCACACCTGGAAAGTAGATGTTACAAATAGAGAAGAGACAAAGAGAAAATAGTCTTGAAGTTGTGCACATAACTTGGATCTATTAATATAGAACAGAACTCAAGGCTGTGGAGATGCTGCTGCAGTCAAGCTTTGCAGACAGCGCTAAAAATGCACGGTGACTTCAAATTACAGTTGAAGTGATACTGTGCATAAACATTGCATATTGTATTAGAAGGATGAATATGACAACTGCATAGTAGGTTATTAAAGCTAAAGTGATTCTCTCCCTTCATAGTCTGAGCTGGCAGAAATAAGTAAATATTGTGTGAATCAAGCATGATTTCTTTTTAATAGTCAGATTTTTGTGTATATGTATGTCTGCATGCATGGACCAAACCATCCTGATTGGAATTGGGAAAAGAGAAGCAGAAAAGCATACAACCGATTTCCAGTCATATGTACCAATTTCTGTACAGACTTATTTTTTAAATAGCCTGTTATTTATCACAGTTTTGCCAAAGCGATAATAATATGAAATTGTTTTTAATGTTACTGGATTTGCATATATTTGGGCATAAGTATCACTAACTCAGTCCACTGTGCTTGTTAAAAGATCTTAATTTCAAATAATAGATGTGTTTTAAAGCACCGTATCAAGGAATATGCTTCCCAACAGAGGGAAATGCTTTTTATTAGCTCTTGAAACCATGGAATCTGTTGGTGTGAGGTCCTCTGTATGCCAGTAGGCCATGTTTCAGAAAAAAACAAGTATAACTGAAAGGAGTCTCAGAAAGTCCACATTTGTATAGTGTTACATGGAAGCTGAAATACTTTGGAAGCAGTTCTTGGTGATGTTCAGAATTTGCATCTTGTATGGATTACTGCTGAGTGGATCTAAAATTTGGCTTTGAATTGAGGAAAAAAATCCTAAAATGAGAGATCAGTCTTTGAACAAGTAGTTTTCTCCTTAGTGATTCTGTAGGAGCATTGATGGCTCAGGCTGCAGTCCCTCCCAGGTCACTTTAACACAACATGAATCCATTATCGTCTCAGAGAGGAAAGTCTTACTCTTCCTGGCCCACCCCTACTTCCACTCATTTTCTGGTCTTAGGATATGGGTGTTTATGAAGAGGGCTAGCTCAGGGAACCATTCCAGCTGAAATTTAACCAAACCAAAAACCAGCTACTTCAGTAATTGCAGCCTTGCTTCCAAAGCCTGCTTATTAACTGAGTGGAACCACCCATACTGTCTCATTTAGCTTCTAGCCTGGAATTCGAACAAAATACCCAGAGTAATTCTGTTTGTTAATCCAGAGTGGCACCATTATTATCATGAGATAAAAACCGAAAAAAATAAATCTGTATAGCTTTACTAGTTTAAAATTATTGATAATATCTGCATTTATTGAAAAGGTGGGATATAATGGTATGGTTTTGCAGGGCTGATCTGAAGTAAAGTAGTACAGAATCCTGGACTCTTAAACCTGCAGATGAAAAGCTATTACAGAAGACTGTTGAACAGTTCTGTCCTGTTTCTCAGGCCTATCAATGTCTAATTATTCCTACAGGAAGTCTCTACTTTCCAGTAAAACTGCTTAAATTTAGTAAGTGTAATTTTTTTATTTTTATTCAAGAGGTCAAAACCCTTAAGTAGCAGTTGTTAGAGATCGGATTTGTGTCTGAGTAGCTGGTTATGTATAGCATAATAATTTTGTTTCAGTTTACATCGGTTTTCATTGATATTATATACATTTCTGCACAGCTTGAAATGATTTCTTAATTTATACTAAACTGTCACATGTTTTTATCTTATTCTGACTGAGTTGCTTACATATCAAATATATTGAAAATGAGAAAGCAAACAGTAAAGTGAGGTTTGGAACACACATTTAACAGAGCAGGAGAGTCCTTTCACATTGTGTTTGTGGTCATATATATTAGTACTTTTTTGTTTGTCAAACTCATTTTCAGTACAAGTAGTTATTAATTTTCATGTAAGTATTCTTATCCACAGTTCCAGTTTAGCAATAATCTTAAGTTTAGATTATACAGTTATTTAATTCAGATCACTCAGCTTCCTCATTCCTTAAACTTATAAACATGTGCTTAAGTGAATTACACGGTTAGATTCTCTAATTTTTTATGTATTTATATATATATATATATACATATATCTGTCTACAGAATACATATAATCTATGTTGATCCTGTATATATGTAGAACTATATAGAGAGAATTATGTATATTGAATACGTGGAGTATTTCATTTTTTGTTTCTCTCAGTCTTTCCAAGACACACTTTACCAGAGATGCCGTTGTGTGAGATGCTATTGAGACTGCATCTGGATTATTACATAGCAGACTCTTCCTATTCAAAAAAAGTCAATTCAAGCTGACAGAGGTGCAGAAAAGGGCTCTGCCAAAAAGCAAGAAGATAAGAAATTATTGCTCTGGAAAGACATTCTCTTGAAAGTATCATTGAGGTGGTTTAAGAAATTATTACAACCATGTTTGCTGCCTTGTTAGATTATACAACTCTTTCAGCTGAGTCAGTGGAAAGGATAGTGTCATCATCTACCTCTACACAAGTCATCCACTTAACCTAAATTCCCAGGTTAAGACTATTTAAAATCAGGGTGATTTTCCTTCAAAGTGGATGAAAAGATCTCAAGTGTTTCATTGTGCACATTGTGGTAAAGGAGCTAACCTTAAATAATGAAAGAGGAAAGACACCTGCAATAAATTCTAAAATGGTTTCAGCTTTATCTGCTGGTGGCTGTCTGACCCATCCTAAATAAGAGTAGGATTTAAGCCTTGTTGAAGAGTAGACACCAAAGGGGTGAAGAGCAGCTTAAACTAAAGGACAATGCTGTAACTAAATATTTTAAGTACAATATTGCAATAAGGAGGAACACAAACTTGAGTAAAATACACTAATAAAAGCAAACTCCTTAATGTTTATTCAAATGGGAAGCTGCCATTCCAAATTGCTGTCATTCTGCAACGTGTTATTTCAAAAGTACAATATTAAGAAGAACATATGAAGACAAAATTATGTCATACCAGGTAACTTTGGTCTATCTGAAGTACACTTACTCTGCTTGCAGACCATTTTGGGGAAAGTAGCTCTATGCACCAGCTGTAGAAAGGTGATCAAGTACATAACAAAGCAGTCTGAACACATTTTAAATGCCCACCAGAAGCGTAACAATTATTACTTAATGTCAGTTGAAGTCATACAGAGGCAGATATCTTTGTGCAAGCTCACATTGCACTTGTGACTGCAAGAAGCTATTAGATACCTTCAGGGTATCAACTCACCTCCTCATTCTCCCAAAACAAGGAAGATCATGGGTAGTTAGGCTTCCTAACAAAAGATTTGGACCAAAGGACTGAGTTACATCAGGAGAAATAGCCCCTGAAGACAATTCCGTGGGCTATGGGTTGCAAGAGTGCAATATATTTCCCCCACATCTTTTGCTGTCCCCAGTCAGCCCCTGTGTCAGTGCCAGGATGTGATGCCAGTGGTAAGCTGGCACTGCTTGGAGCCAGCACCAGTTCTCTTCCACTAGCACTAAGCAGTAGAATCAGAAACTGAGGATCCGATCCATACTTTCTCATTAAGTTTGCTAAAGATAGGCAAAGATGAATGTTTAACAGTCTAATCTGTGTGGTTTGGTTGATATGCTGGAGGGAAGGAATGCCATCCAGAGGGACCTTGACAGGCTTGTGAGGTGGACTGATGCCAACCTTATGAAGTTTAACTATGCCAAGTGCAAGGTCCTACACCTGGGTCGGAGCAATCCCAGTCACAGCTACACGCTGGGCAGAGAAGAGATCCAGAGCAGCCCTGTAGAGAAGGACTTGGGGGTGTTGGTCAATGAGAAAATGAACATGAGCCAGCAGTGTAGTACGCTTGCAGCCCAGAAAGCCAACTGTATCCTGGGCTGCATCAGGAGGAGCATGACCAGCAGGTCGAAGGAGGTGATCCTGACCCTTTACTCTGTTTTTGTGAGACCTCACTTGGAGTATTGTGTGCAGTTCTGGTGCCCTCGACATAAAAAGGACATGGAACTGTTGGAACAAGTCCAGAGGAGGGCCACGAGGATGACCAGGGGACTGGAGCATGTCCTGTATGAAGACAGGCTGAGAAAGTTGGGGCTGTTCAACCTGGAGAAGAGAAGGCTGCGTGGAGACCTCATAGCAGCCTTCCAGTATCTGAAGGGGGCCTATAGGGATGCTGGAGAGGGACTCTTCATTAGGGACTGTACTGACAGGATAAGGGGTAATGGGTTCAAACTTAAACAAGTGAAGTTTAGATTGGATATAAGGAAGAAATTCTTTCCTGTTAGGGTGGTGAGGCACTGGAATGGGTTGCCCAGGGAGGTTGTGAATGCTCCATCCCTGGCAGTGTTCAAGGCCAGGCTGGCCAGAGCCTTGGGTGGCACGGTTTAGTGTGAGATGTCCCTGCCCACGGGAGGAGGGTTAGAACTAGATGATCTTAAGGTCCTTTCCAACCCTAACTATTCTATGATTCTATGATTCTAATTACCAACAGTGTATTTTCAAGGAATTAGTAGGTAGGAAGCTCTTATGTATAACTCATAAATATTAAAAACAGTATGTGGTTTAAATACTCCCATAGCGTCTAATGCAGAAGATTTTGTAGACATATATGGTGAATCATCTAGGGTTTGAGATACCCAAATGAGATTTGATAAAAATATCACCATAGCCAAATAACGCTAAATTTCAGCTGGTTGTTCAGGCAACTTTGTGGCATAGTATCATAACAGATGGGACACTGGCACTTCTAAAAACCATGTTTTACTTCAAAACTAAAAAATGTTTTACTTCAAAAAGGAATTGCCACTCTCATAAGATGTGACATGGAAAAAGACGTGGCTATTCAGTGCACTGACAGCAGGGCAAAGCAACTCGGTGAAGAAGAAATCAAAAGTAAATCTGCAGATCCAGGTTGGGAGAGTCACTGATATTACTGTATATGTATTTCTGATATTCAGAATCCATAATGCTGTTTTTTCATGGGTCATTTGAACCAAAACTGTGGTATCTGGTCATTACTGCTCCAATCCAGACACAGGTAGCTGTGCTGGGGTGAGGGCTCTACAGCCACATTGACTGGATTGTGTGATTTTCGCCACAGTTACAACAGTTAAAACACAGTACCACCATGGGTAGTTTACAAAGACACTTCATTAGAGATCCCTTAACACCTTCATTAATTCCATCATTTACGTCTATGTTAACTGCATTTCCTCAGCTGTAGCCTTACACAGGAGCTTTCTAGATTCCAGTGTAAATTGAAGTAAACCTAAAGTTGTTTTCACCTATATTTAACTCCCCATAGTGCCAAGAAGTAACTCACACTGCATTTATCCTTGTCCATATTCTGAGGTACCCTAAACCCCTAAACAGAGTCTGCTGACAGCCCTGGCTTAAAGCTTTACTTCTGTTTACAAAGTCTTTTGCACTGGGACATGACATCCTAAAAACTTTAAAGTGTTTTTTTTTCTCCCATGGTATCATCTGTGATGCAGAATTCACATGCCCGGGGAGCATAATCTGTTGGGAGAGTTTTCCTTTCCTTAAATTGGACGTATAACTGCTGAAACATTCATTGTGAGGCAGTTTTCTTTCATCTGGGCTTGGTATTATTTTAAAAGAGGTTGAGCTGGTTGCTGTTACATAGTCACAGCAATATCATTCCTGTGGGGTTTTTGCTAGCTTCCAGTAAATTATGAGAGATAGACCCCAATGCATTTTTATCAATGTAGAATTGAAAATGAATTTAATCTTTAAATAGAAAATCAACTAAATATTGAGGCTGCAGAACGAAGCGGCAACTGAGTCATCACATTTGTAGACTAAACTTTAATATCACAATTTTAATATATAAAAGTAAAAAAGCAGCTAAATTTCTCCCTGGGCAGGTAGACTGCTTACTGAGACTAATAAGAAATCCTGTCTTCTTCTCAGCTTGAACTTTTCCTTCAGCTTATTTTCCATGGCCATGCAGCTGTCTCGGTCTTATGCCAACCTCTCAGCAAAATAAATTTGTCATTTAAATAAATGCAGAGGAGAAAAATTAGATGCTAACAATTTTTAATAATCCTAATTAATTATTGATTAGTGGTAATGACAGTAAGCAGAAAATTGATTTGCTGTTTGTATTGAGCTGAAATAATTTGATTGTAGAATAAAAGCAACTAACCAATAAGACCAACAGTGATACTGTATTAATCTCTCATTTCTATATTAATAAAAGGTGTCTGTTTGTTAAGTGATAAGCAAAGGAATGCAAGATAGTTCTAGGTAGTAGGTCTTTCATTGCATTTATCACCAGTGTGTTGGTGTTTCTTTCAGCTACAGTAACTAACACATGATTTGAAGAAAAAAATCTATACAAACCTCAGTAGATACAGATTTTTTTCCCTTACAGTACCTTTTGGGTAGCAGTAAATGACCAGGTAGGACTGATCTCTTTCTTCTTCATGTCTTTCAGCTTTTAGCAGTATTTATAACAACCATAGTTTTTCTCAAAGCATTCTAGCACTAACCCTTACACAACATATACTCAGCTTTTTTATCTACAGAAAAATCTGTGCTGCCTTTGAGAATTTCTGCACTTAACAAATGCTTTTTCTTTTCTTTACTTACTAGTACGGTCTCACAGTCAGGTATACCCTCTGCTTGTGACATGCTAACAGTATTTTTGCGGTATTTAAAAATCAGTTCTGGAACTACATGTAGTATTACATGCAGTATTTCACTGATATCATATATTATCATACTCCACCTTCAAGCTTCTTTTTGGTATTCCCCATCTGTAGGTCCAGCAGCTGTTGGCCTGTTAATTTTCAGCTTTGTAAGAGAAGTTCACAATCAACAGGCTGGTTTTGATGACTCTCCTCCACCATCCCCAGGATCTTTGTATAATATTATTTCATTCCAAGGTATGATCACATACGTCATAATTATAACCTTCAGGTTCTGTTCCTATGTGTATGAGTGAAGTTGAAGTCCAAAAGACTGTAAACAGATAGGCTGGGGACAGACCAGGTTAATCAGCAGAATAAGTCATAATCATAGTGTAGCAGAAGCCTAATTATTGCCTTTTTTCTTTTTCTTTCCTTGGTATATATTGTAACAAAAGGCAGTATATTAAGGAAGGAATTGGAAAGACATAGCTCTGCTGGTATTTAAGATGTATAAAAACCTTTTTAAGTGTACATGACAGTGTTGGTTGACACCAGGAGCAGATAAGAGACGCAGGCAACATTTCCTGTTAAAGAGATGTGTGTGTGGTGATGGGCTGTATATGCAAAAGTCCTGTGCTGAATAGAGATACCATTTCAGAATAAAGGGATCCATAATGGTGCTTGGGTTATGAGTGACCAGCAGAATGGAAACGTTGTCCAGTCAAGCTCAAGAGAGGGAGTGGTGGTCTTCACAGTCTGGAGGTAATGGCTAGACATCATCATCTTTTCCAGCTGGTCTTTTCCAGCCTTGCTGATTCCATGATTCTGTGCAGTTTAAGAACTCTGGTTTAGACCTTTTTAGCTCTGCAGTCTTAGACCCTATTAGCCTCCAAGGACTGATGTGAGAGAGAAAGGCTGTGATTTTTACTTTTGTACAAAAGAGGACTGACTTGAAGTGAGAGAGAGTTAGCATTGCTGAGCTAGAGTCAAGGTAGGTGTGGGGGTTGGAATGTATTGAAACTGTCAGAGACCATGGGAAGGAGGAACTACAGCAGGCAATTAAGAGTGACCCATCCCTGACTGGTACTTGGAAGATGTTGGAACTGGCCAGGCACAAGGACGTCAGAACTGGAAAGAGGATGTCAGTAAGAAAATCAGATAGACCTTTCACCTGATGTAACTGCAAGGCAAACACAGATGTGCTTGGCTAATTGCTTGGAAGCATATAAATACCATGTAATCTTTGCAATAAACGATCCAGCTTGCACTCTACCTCTGGGTCCGTGCCTCCATCCTCACAAATGGTGCCCAAACAGGGACAAGACAGAGAGCTGTGACTTCGCGACCAGTGAGGACGCCCAGCCATACTCCGAAAGCCTGCAGCAATTAACCAATACCTCTGACTGAGGTAAGCAGCTGGGAACGGGAACATGGAAAACTCAGCATCCCCCAAGCACAAGTCGGTGTACAGAGTACTAGTAGAATTCCTAGCGAAGAAGGGGGTTACTGTGAATGAAGACAGACTAAAAGACTTGTTAACATGGGTCTCGACCCATGTCCCTGAGGCAACATCAACTAATATTTATCAGAAGGGAATATGGGACAAGATTGGGGTCTGCCTCTGGGATGCAGCCACAAGGGATGATGCAGCAGCACCCAAATTGCTGGCTGTATGGCTCTCAGTCTATGAGGCACTTAGGAGCATAGGAGGCATCGGCACCGTCAGCCCCTCCTGTTCCAACAAACACCACTCCGGATCCTCTCGACCCAGAAACTGAGCCAGACCTATTCCCGCCTGATCCTGGCATTGGCTGTCGTGAGGCGCAAGCTTTGCTGGTGCTCACGCACCCTCCCGCGCGTATCGATTTGTGGGAAGATAGCCGCCGACAGGCTGCAACAGGAAATGAGCCAGGCAAAGATGACCCTTTGATCCCGGACCGATCGACCCTGACAGAGAACCCGACCTCTACCACACCCCCCCCCCACACACCCCCCCGACCCGCATAATATGTGGAGAAACATAAAAAAGAAGCGGAAAATCAAGGTGCTGTGAACCTGCCCCACAACCTGAATGCTCCACATCCCGACCGTCACGACGCGAACCGCGGGCTGGACGGCGGGGAGGAAAACGGCGCTCCCGCGGGGACTACGGCGGGGGCTCCCCTCCGGCCGAAGGGCTGCGCCTGGTGGCGGCGGGAGAAGGAGCTACAGAACACGGGCGCACTGCCTCCACCTCCCCGCTGCCGCGACCTCACTCACTCGCCCGGCGGCGGCAGCAGGCTCCGGCGGGCTCCCCCCATTGTCTGCCCGCGGGCAGAGGGCTCTGATACTCGCCCGCCCCTCGCCTTTGTGTGCTCCGGCAGGGGCGGGTACGCGCTGCGCCCGCCGAGATGCGCGCTGCGGGGCGGAGGGGGTCCACTCCTCCCGGTGAGAGGCGGGAAGAAACCCAGCCTCTGCCCCGGAGGTTTTTCACCCGGAGCAATGGTCTGTTAACATCAGATAACGATTCAGTCAAACATGCTACCCTTCAAAACAGAGCTACCATCGATTTTTGCTATTAGCTCAAGGAAATGGTTGTAAAGACTTTGATGAGATGTGTTGCATGAACCTATCTGATCATTCTGAGTCTGTCCATGATGCAATTCAAAACCTAAAGGACAGGCTTCAGAAGCTGGGAGTGGAGAGGAGCTGGAATTGGCTAAAAAGTTTGCTGTCAGAATAGGACATCAATGCATGCTTGAAAGACATTATTAAAATCGCAATAGCCTGTGTACAAATCTTTTTATATATTTTGATCACAGTTCCTTGTTTAATTGCTTGTATAAATCGTTTGTTCGCTAAGTCTATTAACAATGTTTTGTTAGCTTATAAAGAAGGGGGAGATGAGGGGAATGTTGCACAAGAAGCTGTGCCAGCAGACCTGGACGAGAGCCCGGACATCTGGACTCTTACCAGCCACAAACCTTGGGAGAAGTGAACCGGACAAGTTGGGAAGAACAGAGAAAGAACATCAGATAATTTCTGAGGATGGTAAATTTGGAAACAAGAGGATGCTTAAGATAAAGAATGTGTAGTCAAGAGGAAGTGGAAGTGAGATTTGTAACGAGTAGTGATAGCAGAGAACTATGTTTAGAAATAATTACTCAAGCAAAGGTGTGTGGACAGTAATGTGATTGGCTGAAAGAGTGCGTGATCATTAAGGTTGTTTTGTGATGGAAAAGTACTAAAGGAACTAACTGCTACTAACGGCTAGGCAGAATACTATGAAAACCTGTAAGCTAACTCAATAAGGGATTTCGTTTGTAGCCAGAAACAGAGTCCATGCCTCAGTTGCCACAAGACTGGGCCTGGCAAAGGGTGTCATCTCATATAAAGGATGGCCCGCGTGCAGTAGGGACCTTAGGCATGTTTATCCCTAATAACACTATGATAATGAATAAGCGAGGAGTGCGTTCTCGAAGGTCAACACATGCTTTTCAACCGAGCTGCGATGACAAAGTATATTTTTGGAACCCAGGTGAAATTATAGCTGCCTCATTTTTAGCTCCTGGAGCAGCTAGTGCTCAAGCTTTGGCAACATTGAATAAGTTAGGATGTTGGCTTGCTAAACAAACTAATGCTACATCATCCACTCTCTGCGTTGCTCACTGATGTTGACTCTATCAGACATGCGACTTTGCAAAATAGAGCAGCAGTCGATTTTCTCCTCTTAGTGCATGGACATGGGTGTGAAATTTTGGAAGGAATGTGTTGCATGAATTTGTCAGACCATCCAGAAACCATACATGAAAGTATCCATACATTAAAAGACAGTGTAATGAAGTTAAGGGAGGATGATAAAGATTGGTTATCATCACTTTTCTCTGATTAGAGTATAACTGGGTGGTTATTGACTTTGGTTAAGGGAGGATTTATCTTTTTGTTTTCTCTCTTTGCCATCATATGTGTTGTACCTTGCTTATTACAAAGTATACGGCGAATGTTATCCCACGCTTTTGAAAGACATGTATATTGCGTTGCAAAAACAAGAAGGAGGAACTGTGGGGGTTGGAATGTATCGAAACTGTCAGAGACCATGGGAAGGAGGAACTACAGCAGGCAATTAAGAGTGACCATGGGAAGGAAAAACTACAGCAGGCAATTAAGAGTGACCCTTCCCTGACTGGTACTTGGAAGATGTTGGAACTGGCGAGGAACAAGGACGTCGGAACTGGAAAGAGGATGTCAATAAGAAAATCAGATAGACCTTTCACCTGATGTAACCGCAAGGCAAACACAGATGTGCTTGGCTAATTGCTTGGAAGCATATAAATATCGTGTAATCTTTGTAATAAATGATCCAGCTTCTGGGTCCGTGCCTCTGTCCTCACAGTAGGAGCCAAATTTGTATTCGATAGAGAAGATGAGATTTAAAAGAAAAAATATCTTTTCTAATATTATATTAAGAAGAATTCTCTCAACTATGAGTAAAAATATTTTTCATTTGAGGACATTTCAACTTAGAATTTCGAACTTCCAGCATACACTAACTTTCTTCTCTGTGAAACTAGTGGTGCTGTCAAACCCTGCCTTTGTGTCAATATGTATTCTGCTGATACCTCGGTTTTATTTGCTTACATGTCTCAAGACGCTGCATGTGTTGAATTTTGTTTCATTCTGAAAAGATCAAATGCAAAACGGTGTAACAGCTACATCGATTATTTATGAATCAAGTCATGATATTAATGTGCCTTTCTCAAAATACAGCTATGGCTCAAAAGGAACTGCAGACCTCTACCCCACTCCAGCGTAATCCAGAAACTGATCTGTCAAAGTTGTTCATTTTTAAGTTGTCATTGTTACTGAGACTGCCATGGAAAATAAAACCCAGCCGCATCAGCAATTCTTGAATCCAGGCATGGAATAAACGCCCACTGCCGCAGAGCTTTGCATGTACCATTGCGTTGCCACATGTTCACAAGATTCCAGAAGTCTTATGTACTTCACACACTTGTTTGTTATGGTTTTTTGTTACTTCAAGGGGAAACAATTAATTACAGATATCTTTGCTGCTTTTCCCTTCGCCATCCTCTTGCAAAAGATGCATAGCAGTGGCAGACATCTTACGGTCTGCTACACCTACTAGGTATATTCTAGCATGCAAATTACTACCTGAATTAGGAGTACCACAGTGTCCCAGAGTGGAACAGCATGTTCCCAGACCAGAGGTACTCTGGGGAGTAGCAGACACAAATATTTGGAGGCAGAAAGTGGA